TCTTATTGCTTAAAGGAGATAGAATCTGTTGTTGACACTATCCAGCGATATCTGATATACGAAACACCTCCCAAAAAGAAGCGCAATGGTGATTCCACCAAAAAATTTTCCAGTAAAAAAAAGTCAAGAATGCAACAAATAAAAGTGATTTTCTTATATAAAAATAAAAAAATAAAAAAAAAAAACAAGGAAAAAATACTATTGCCTTGCCTGAAACGGTCATAAATTCAACTAATCTTCCCAAATGAAATGGAAAGCTAAAGAAATATTATTATTATTTAGGGAAAAGATATAGCTTATACAGTCAGGCCTCCCTAAATGCATATTCTCTAACTGCATAGTCTCTTTAAATGTATGGCCTTGTTTTGCCCCAACTCATATAACACTTATAGATTTTTACCTCCCTAAATGCAAGATTTTTTGGCCGCCCACGGCTATGCATTTAGAGAGGTCTGACTGTAATATGATTTTACAGGAAATCAATAATGAGGACGCATCTAATGCTTTAGTTAATGATAAAATTAGGGAGCATATCCCAATTAATGTAAAAATCATCAAGACCATCTTCGAAAAAGGCAAAAAAAAGTTTCAAATTTCTCAATAGTATAGGCGATAAAATTGATAGATCGAATCTTTCTTTGCTGGTCTTTCATCCAAAATATGTACTTGCAAATACTATTTGTCCAGAGCTTACAACCATTATGCATCAAATATTTCTACGTACCAGCGTTGACGATATTTGATTATCGTTATGCACAAAATTAGGCCCAATTTTTGACCAGTTACCTATAACAAAAACGGTAATAAACACGCTCACATGATTAAATTTAAATTAAAAGTTTATATATTTCATATGATAAATAAGGGTATGTAACCGGTTATCTATTCTTATAATGGTATAAATCAAAATTTTTCATCAATTACTTACGACAATGCATTTTCTAAGAAGTTACCATGTTTTGACTAAACAACCAGGTGGCTGGTTTAAGCCTATTCATGTTCCTTTCACTATAATGGGTTTAAGCAAACTGTTTCATGACTCTAATTATGTGAACAGTTTAGCTATAAGAGAGGGGTTACCCATGAGATTGTTACTACTTGGCAGTCCGGTATGCTGCTTGCTTGACAATGAAAATATCTAAATTCATTATATAAAATTTATTACAAGATTGTTGGTTTTTTTTTTTCGTAATTTATCAAGGGTTCGGGTAAAGGAACTCAGTCTTCTCGCATACAAAAAAAATTCAATATTTCAGTTATATCGAGCGGTGATATCCTTCGTCAAAATATAGCTCGTGGAACAAAAATTGGTAAAATTGCTGCCAGAGAAATCGAACGTGGAGGTGAGTCAGTGTTTCACATAACTTAATCGCGGGATCGGATCTAAAACAAGAGTGAAAAAGAAAAAAATCATTTCTAATGGTATAATTTTATATAATGTAATATATCATTGGCCACTGCTTACAGTATCCCCAAAATAGTACCCCATGATTAAGACTCGGGTACTACTCACCATCACTACCTTGAATAAGACCCGAGTGAACAACTGTATTGATTTACTACTTTTAATGTGATACATCCCCGAATATAGTACCGTTTTTCACACAAGACCTATGGGTATTATTCAATTTTTAAAAGTGGAATTCTTGAGTAAGACTCGGGGTACTGTAAGCAGTAGCCGCGGTAATAAATGGTAATAATTTTTTTTACAGTGTTGTTTAAATTTTCTTTCTTTTTATGTTTGAATAAATAGCCTATGTATCGGATGATATTATGATTGAGCTCATTACGAAAGAGCTTCAGAACAAGCAACAGGTATTTTCCTATAAAGATTGGTGTTTTTATTACAGTTTAATATGTATTAATGCTCTAACATGTAATAAAAAGAATTGGTTGCTGGATGGCTTCCCTCGAACTATTAATCAAGCTATAGCTCTGGATGATAGATTGGCCATGACAGACCGATCATTAAATTTAGTAATCAATCTAAATGTACCAGAAGAAGTAATATTACAACGAATCATGGGTATGTGAAGTTTTGGTTTTTTCACAGTGTTATAGTAGTATGTTTAATAAATAGTTATTTTTAGATCGATGGGTGCATGTACCATCTGGACGTGTTTATAACTTAAGCTATAATCCTCCAAAAATAAATGGTATTGATGACGTTACTGGAGAAAAACTGACAAAACGTTCTGATGATAATCCTGTAAGTTTATTTTCACGTGAACTAGTTCATAATTATCACCACTAATTATATATTTGTTAATAAAGGAGACATTTAAGATTCGTCTTCAAAAACATAGATCTTTAACTGAACCATTATTAGAATATTATGCGAAACGTAATATATTAATTACTCTTCACGGTCGTACAAGTGATGAAATTTATCCACAAATTGAAAGAGAACTTTTAAGACGATTTGG